GCCCAGGGAGATGGGGACTGGGGTGGTGACTGCGAGCGTATCCTGGGAGATGGGGACTGGGAATGTGAGTGCGATCGCGCCCAGGGAGATGGGGACTGGGGTGGTGACTGTGAGCGCATCCTGGGAGACGGGGATTGGGGTTGTGACCGCGCCCAGGGAGACGGGGACTGGGATGGTGAGCGCGAGCATGGTGATGGCAGAAAGGTGGGGGTTGGTCAGGGAGAGAGTGTGACACCGTGTGAGAGTGGATTTAAGAGTGTTAATCTGGGATGGGTGCCACAGGTCACAGCTCTAACAGACTGTTAGAAAGCGAAGTCCTGGCGTGGGCGGTGGAGAGTGAAGAGAGCATGTGGCCCCTTGCCTCTGCTCTGGCGGGACAAGGTGTCTTCTCCAGGCTTCCTCATTCTGAGGAAGAGCTCTTGCAGTTTTTACTTAATATCTGTGCAAATCAGGATAAAGCTCTGTCCTCTCAACTCAATCAAGAATTTAAGAAGGATTTTCCACATGGCAAGATTAAACTGGATTTTTCTTCGTGCTTTCTCTCTTGCTCTGCTGTCTTGCCTTAAAGACGTCGGAGTAAACACAAGCCCTACTGAACGCAAGCTGGAATAGTCACAAACATGCTCTATCGTCCTCATGACATTTTACTTGGGAGAACAAATAAAAAATGCAGTTCTCAGAAAAATGCAAGTTCTCAGAGACCCACAAGCATGCGTCTGAAAACCTCATTTTTCGTTTTTTGGTTTCATCAGTTCTCCCCAAAGATATCCAGTCTGCTCAGTGTACTTGTACAGTGTAACTCTTCCACCCACGGGTGTCTGCTCCGCTCTGCTGTCCTCTGAGCCTCCTGGCGTGAGGGCGCACTGAGCTCGCGCTGCTCCTCCGGCCTCGCCCTCCGCCTGAAGCCGCGGCCGAGCTCCCGGCGCATCATTGCTCTGCAAGTCCAGCGCGCGGAAGAGCAACACCAAGACCGCGGGCCCTGCTGCCCCCTCTCCCACACTACCCGCTGTCTGGCGCCTGCACCTGCCGACGCAGACCGCAGGAGTAGGCTGTTTTCAACGTCTGTCTCCGGAACTCTCCATTCGCCAGAAACGTTGCACCAGTGAGAAGTGTTTGTTTTTTCCTGGCTTTTTATATCTGGTTGGTGTAGGAGAGCTCTGCAAGTTGAGTCCGGATACAGCTGTGTTTTATTTGCTAAACTAGGTATGGTTTGCGGGAACAAAGGTCTTTATCTTATTATTTACTCCCTGTTTTTGAAAAGCAAATGAAAGCCAAACTGACACAGCTCTTCCTCACAGTTTAGGACCAACAAAGGCCACTGGTGTTGCTGTCGATCACTCTGCTGTGGTGATGCTCGCTGCCGTGTTTCGCGACTATACTCTCCGAGCGCCCAACTGCGGCTTCCTTAAAATTTGTTCAGTAACTTTCCTGCTTTCCTGTATGTGAATCCCTGGTCTTGTCTTTGTCTGGGCTTCATTCCAGCTGGTCTTGTAATTTCTTAGCCTACCTAATAATTAAAACCATTCAATATGAACTATGTTTTTATTTTTTTACAAACTTTTGGCGGTTTTGGCGTCACCTCTGTACCTCATGATCCAGTCCTGCTGCTGGGAGGTATTTAGACAGGTACTGGGGAACATCAGTTTATTATGTAATATGAGGCTGAAAAGAGCTGTTTGTTTAATCCTTTGGCTAGAAAACACCTTCTGTTTGGCTGCTTACTAAAGCTAAAGTCAGAGGGCAGAGAGCAGTTTAAGAGGCTCTAATCAAGCCAGTACTTTAAATAAAGGGATCAATTACCTGAAGCTCATTTGGCTGGAGAACCAGAAGCAGTCTTTTGGCTGGAGAACTCTGGAACTGGGTTCGAAACCCATTTGGCTGAGCAGAAAACACCCAGAGCTTGTTGAGGATCAGTGTGTTACCAGCCCAGTGACTTTTTATCTAGCAACTGAGGGAAAGAGCACAACTTGACCGGCTCTGCTGACAGGGGTTACATAACAGCAGTGTTGGAAGCTCTGCTGTAAGCACAGGTTATCCTGTGGCACGAGCAAGAGACAGACTGCCTGGTCAGATCAATGCCCAAATCACAACCCCGTTGAAATGAACATGAGAATGGTTACAGAGGAGAGAAGTCCATTTGGCCCATCAAGCTTGTTTGGTTTATTTCAGCAGATAATTATAATAATAATAATTGCTTACACTTATATAGCGCTTTTCTGGACACTCCACTCAAAGCGCTTTAAAGGTAATGGGGATTCCCTCCACCACCACCAATGTACAGCCCCACCTGGATGATGTGACGGCAGCCATAGTGCGCCAGAACGCTCACCACACATCAGCTTTCAGTGGGGAGGAGAGCAGAGTAATGTGGCCAATTCATAGAGAGGGATTATTAGGAGGCCATGATTGGGAAGGGCCAATGGGAAACTTGGCCAGGACACCGGGG